AGAGTTCCTGATTAACATGTTATTGATGGATAGTTAATTAGGTCTCAGTGACCATGTATTACTAACGTCCAACTATGTGTGTTATGAAGAATAGCAATCTGAACATTCGTAAATAAATTATACAACCATACACTACCACGTCTTGAAAGAATTTGTCAACGTATCTGCTTGGGAACTCTCAAACATCAGTCCCTTTGACAAGGTTTGGACAGGGTTCCTTAATAGACTCTGCGACATCATCAACAGAGCATCAGAGACCAAGTCCCTTCGTCATCCAAAAACGCCTTTAACTCTAAGGTGCAAGCCTCGAAAATGCATGGCTATAAGGGATGCAACATGGCGTGCCTACAAGGTTACCTCCGAATCAGAGACTTGGGTAAATTTCCTGACCCCTCGAAACCATTCCACTGCACTTGTCCGTGAGAACAAATTAACTTAGCAACAGCGCCTAAGTAAAATATTCCTGGCACACAACAAACTGCTGTATGGGCATGTCAACAATCTTCGTAAACTGAAGCATGGCATCTCTCCACTTTTCATGACAGGAGGTGGAGTACGAAGCGCTGAAGCAGCAGCTAATGCCTTGCGGCTACAATACGCACCAATTGTCGAACTAGCAGTCTCTACCTGTCCCATAATGTCATGCACATTGCTAACTCCGTTGTTTACACATGTAATTTCCAACCCATCGATTGTGTTAAGGAAGTTCCTCTCACTACGCAATCATAGCTCTCCAGGAGCAGACAACATCTGCCGGAAGACACTGAAGGATTTGACCATTAAGCCAGCTGAATCACTGTCACAGTTCTTCCAAAGGTGTTTCGAAGAACAGCAGGTCCCCACTATGTGGAAGCGTGCCATTAACTCCCCAATTTTAAAGGCGGTAACCGTTCAGATCTTGCCAACTATCGCCCAGTGACTCTCCTCCCTGTGTTCACGAAGGTGATGGATGCAGTCATCGCTGAGGCTTTGCTACGAATCGGTCAGGTCTCTGAACTATACTGTCACACCGGGTTTACTGCGGCGCTACACACCCTACCTTTCACTGATAAGCTGATATTCGGCCATCTACATAGATGGTTGAATCTTTGGAGAGCCCCCACGCGTCTTGTTGATAGTCGAAGTAACTTCCCCAGTGATGCGACCAACATACATGACACAGCCACCAACGTAAGTGAACTGATCAACAACTTCCAGTAGCCTTTCGGGGATAGCTACAACCGGAGTTCTGTCGGTCCAGTCCTGCAGCAGTATATTGCACTTTGAAGGTGTAAAGTACATGCCAAAGTGTGCGGCGTTGCGCGACAGTCTATTCAGCCATGGTTAGACTTCTATGTTAGCAGCTATGTAAGAGAACAATGGGCAATGATTTAGCAAGTGCTTAACATGTCTCGTAAATGGTTTGGGTGATTATAATGAAATCAAAATATATCTGGGTCATCTACCGAACGTCTACCTAGATATATTCTTTGATGAATTACCTCGGTGTAAAAGTAAAAAAAGCAAGCGTTAACGTTCAGAATGTCATTGGGGTGCGGTTATCGTTGATGTAAGTGTGAGGAAAGTGAAATATGGTCAGTCATTTGGGTCCTTTTAATGCAGAAACCCTGTTGAAAATAGTGTTTGGCGTAATCAACAATGGAGGCGTTTAGATTACAAAATGCTGGGAGCTAAGGGCAACGTTTAATTTTTTTGAAAAAGTCCATGGTAGGAGAGGATACAACTGAGTCTGGGAGTGCGTTCCAGGGTTGGCAAACCCGAAGGGATAAACAATTCTGCCGACACTCAAACGACTATATTGTTCCTTCAATCTTGAGCAGTTACCCCTGTGTTGCGTATTGTGGCTAGGTAGACATGGTAACTATCTTCTGCATCCTTTTCCTCCAGGCACTGAAAAAATTGTTGGTATGAAACAGTTGATTATTCCCTCGCCATGCACTTGCGTCACCAACTAATGAAACCAAGCCGGTGAGCTCTAGCTTTTACCAGTTATAACCAATGCACTTAATGGCGTACCTTAATCATAAAACGAATATACTTGAACACAGTGAACTCTATTTGATTGTTCTGTAAGGGAAAGTTATTGGAGGAAAGGGTATAGGGCGAAATTCAGAACAGTAACTCATCAATCACAGAAGTGCCAACCCGGATGCAAGCAAATACGATTGAAGAGTGAGAGTTAGTGAAACGAAAGTAGTTTGTGCGTAAACGAGTTACAGCAAAACTGTGCAAATCTGTACACAACTGGGTGTGCACAGTTCTCCCGGTGCGGACAATTTCCACCCAAAGCTATTGAATATGGCGACCAGCAGCTTGGCTGTACGGTTGTCCCAGTTTTCCCAACATCGTCTAGACAACATGCAGCTCCCCGCAATGTGGAAACATGAAGAAGTCAATCCCATTTACAAGGGAGATAACTACGCTGAACCGGAAAACTACTGCCCGATAACGCGCCTCCCAGTTTTTTCTAATGTCATGGAATCCGCTATTGTTGAGGCCCTCATGGAATGCTTAGAAAGATGCGATATCATGGTACCGGAGAAACAGTGTTTCCGCCGGAACAGCTCAAGTAACTCGAACCTCATGTTAGCACGTGCCAGCTGGATGGAATCAGTCGACGCTGTGTAACTCGAGTTCGCTAAAGTGTTCGACCGTCTAGATCACAACATTCGTCTGCTCAGGCTTCAGAGCTGCGGAATCGGCGATACCATCCTAGGTTGGGTACTTGCATTTCTACCTCAACGTCGCCTAAGCGTGAGAGTTTGTAGCGCCTTATGGGACCCGATAGAGGAGCAATGCGGCGTTCCACAAGGCTCGGTTGTAGGGCCAAGACTTTTCCTCGTCTTAAGTAACGACCTTGTGAGAACGATCGATTCAAACGTTTTACTCTTCGCTGACGATCTCAATATCTGGCAGACTATATGGACATTCAACGAACAACTGACACTACGAGGTGCCCTAGACAGGGCTCACGATTGGACAGTTGAGAGTCCAGCACTGGAGTCCAACACTGCCAAATGTTTAGTACTGAGCATACGCCACTAAAGAACTTAAACATACCTGTTAGCAGAACAACTTTTGCAAAGCGTCTCCCATGAATATGATCTTGGAGTGTTCGTTCAGGCCGTTTTCGGATGCTTAAAATAAGCCGGAAAAGCAGCAAGGGAATCCAATCAGCACTAGGGTCTCTTGCAGAGAGCGTTTGGCCAGTTTTATCACACAATCTTTTCACAAATGCTCAAGGCTCAGCTATGGCCACATGTTGAATACGCCATCCAACTCTGGCACCGCCACCCAAGGCATGATCTTGCTGCTCTTGTGACTCCACAAAAAAGAGCACCAAAATTGTTAAAGGCCTGATTCATCTCAATTATCAGCATATATTACAGACCGTAGGAACTGTCGGTGGTCAATACCATCGCCTGCACGGTGATATAAATTTCGGTATTTCAGATTTTAAAGGATCCAAGCTACGCATGTCGACACATTTAAATTAGTTCAGAAAACCTCACTCCGAGACCCTCACTTGAAGTTAGTCACAGAGTACAGCCGACTGGAATGTCGCCGTCATGTTTTCTTACTTGGTGTGTCCAACTAGTAGGACGCTCTCCCAAGTTCCGTCATCTCCGCTTCTACCTTGACTGAATTCGAAACTCAAGTTGATGAACGATTACATCATATGCAATACAAAACCTGATCTATGTTAATAAGACATATCAAGACAATCAAACTACGTAACCAGTGAAATTTCGGTAGGTTCACCGTTTTCACTGCTTACCTGCGGGAATTGTCATGCTTTGTATTTTTACCAGGGATAAATTCATTGATCCATTAAAACCGAACTACCATTCTTGCGCTGTCACGCCGGTTGTATGACGTTAAAACTGAACCTTGGTTAAACATTTTATACCAGGCAGTTGGCAAATTTGGCACGAAACGTCCCAATACCAATGCAGCCAGCTCGCGTAACACTGAAAATTGTTGACTAGTGTTTGGCAGCTTTGTTTTAGCTACTCCTAGCAAACGAATTGAAAAAGTTATACGAGGCACAGAGGCAATAATCTAGTTGGTGCTATACTGACATCCCATATTATGTATTTATTTATGAATTTGTTTATTTATAACAGCGTTTGACTCGGGGCTGAGCAGAGGGAGAGTTTTAAGTCTGGAATCTGTTGAGAAATCTCGGGTTCCCGTCTTCCATTAGATAGCTGTTTTTACGTAATAATTTTATTAAATAACATGCGGGCGTGACTGCTTACAGGTACTCATTGTATTTGTGCACGGGTTGTCAACACTTCTCCACCAATTTCCATAATTTGCAACTTCTCTTAGATGCAGATTGCTCTACCGAAAATTTCTCTGACGTTTCTTTTTCCCATCTTTAACCTTACTGAGTTTACATATATTTACAATGCGACATACTTTAAACGATCATATGGGTGTAGGAAGTGCATTTCGATGTGGACACGTGACCGGTTTTCGACACTGCAACACGAACTTGTTCTGACGGAACGAACTATATTTATAAAGGCACAACGATACTTGGAAAATGAAGCGGGCAGTTGCAGAGGTCAGTATCTCAAGCTCCAGAAGAGTCAGGTGTGTAGCACAGGCAAATAAACATTGACGTTGATTGGGAAACGTAAATGGGAATAAATAAAGTTCGATCGAGCAGGAAATATGCACATGAAGACAGCTCACAGGTTTCGGGTCGCTTCATGCTTGCCACATTCAAACACTTACGTTGTGTGTGTTCAGTCAAACTGCACTGAACTTAAGTGTCTTTTGACCTCCTCAGCTAGACACTGACGTGCACAGGTTTGCCGTATTCAGGCTGCTACACGAAGCGCCTATGCCACAATAGTTTTGTCAGTGGCCAAGGCAACCGACAGAACACCTACTGAGTACTTTTGTTAGTGGTAACTTGCTTTTCACTGCTAATTTCCCCCATTGCTTAGAATGGTACGCACACCAGAAGCCAGTATTGTCTTTCGACTGGGTGCTAAGGTGATGGCATCACCTGATACTGAGCTCGATTAAGCAGAGTTGATCATACAATAACGCCCACACCTACCTTTATCTTCATCGGTTTAACGTTGAAGCATCATATCCGTTTTTTGAAAGCAATCAGTTTCGTCACAGGAGCCCAAAGACGGGCTCTAGAAGAATGGTAACTTGTGATAATTTGCTAATAACGGCATTAAACACAGTTTATACACCTTTCACTCGTTCTTGGAAGCTTAACAACCATTGCTGTCGCAGCTGTTTCACAGGCGAATGTAAGACCTCCAGTAATAATTGTGCCGGGGTTCGGAGGATCTAGAGCCTACATAAGATCGAAAGAGCGGACCGGAGAGCCCTTTAAACAGCTTTGGCTGGACCTCAAAAATATAATCGATCCAAGTGTACTGACGAAGTTGTTTGAGTAAAGATGTTCAAGACGAAAAATGGGATAAACCTTCCGTTGCATTTAGATTGACACACCTGAACAATAACCATCAGTCGCAAGAAAATGAGAAATTTGAAATAATCTTCCCAGGTTGGGGAGATACGAGGAACCTGGAATATCTGGACGATTCGAAACACGTTCTAGGTCGACAATTCAACACCTTTGTGACATCTTTGGTTAATACATCATTTTACAGACGGAACCTCAGCATTCGTGGAGCTCCGTACGATTTTCGTAAAACACCACGTAAGTTTATGAATGCAATCATTCTTACTAAGAATGATTATAGATGAAAACAAAATGTTCATGATAAATTTGAAAAAGCTGATCGAGCAGACCTACGCATTGAACGAGATGACTAGGGTTGCTCTCATCAGCCATAGTATGGGGACTTTGTATTGTGCGTATTTTCTACATTTGCAAACTCAAAGTTGGAAGAAGACTTATCTGCAAACCTTTATAGCAATCAGTGGTCCTTTTGGTGGAGCAGCAAGAACCACAAAAGCAATTGCTAGCGGTCAGTCCTAGCACCTAATAACTCACGTACCATACGAGTTTTACATTTTTTATTTGGTTGGAGTTTATGTTACACGAATTTATTCATCAAATGTTCATGCGCTTATGTGTATAATTAATCGTTATTCCGCTACTATAAAGATTTCAAGTAATGCATGAAATAAACGGCGGGGACAACATTGCAAATAAATCGACAAGGGTTGCTTGTTCAATTGAATCTACCGCGGAAATTAGGGTTATTCGGGTGATCAAACTACTGATGTAGAGACATATTCGGTTTATTCGATCTCAATCCTGCTTTGCAAATACTTTTCTTCCTATAAGCATATTGTAAGTTGGACTAATCGGGGTTGGGAATGGATCCAAGAACTAACTTTTCCCTAGGTTATAGAACGCCTGCATTTTAACGGTTACAAGTACAGTTTAAGGCCAGTGTCTTAATTTGCTAAAGGAGTTTCGGATTTCCACCAACAGTCTGATACTGGACCGCAGTGAAACAAAACAAGACATATGGGCACTATTTCATTTGGATACTTAGCTCTCGTAGGAAAATTGCTTGGGTTTCCCGATCAATACAACCACCGCACTGTTCCTTATGTCCTTATTTGGGCCAGCAGCTTAAGTAACGAAAAACTAAACTGAAAGTGGAAACTTCGTGGCGCTCAGCATGATCCAGTATCAATGCTTCACTGGGTGTACAAAAGACAATGTTTAATACGAGAGATGCAAAATATAAGGTGGCTTCTCTGACTGCAATTTTTATATGGATTTTTACCCCCTATTTCATTCTGGGCGGCAGTACAAACTGTTGTAAATATTAATCATCTCCTTTGTCATGGTTTCATTGGGTGTAAAAGTAGAATTATATTAGTAGTTCCAAATATAGCACTGCACTGTAGACTTCGTCGACATCTGGCATATCCGGACTTGTCCTTCTAATTTGGAACAGGCAGCTTAGGGACTAGTATCAGAGCAAACAGTTGCTTACAAGCAATGAATTCAGTCCTTGTGTGAAACACCCAAAAAATTAAACCGGTTTTGGTGTCTTGTGTTTCAAGAGCACGCCGTTTGAAGTAGTTTCAAAGTAAGCGCTTTTCCAATTCTCTAATTCAGCAAACGTGACTTCAGTTTTATATTTGGTCAAATTTGCATTGTAAACCTAAAATTCCAAATGCTAATCGCACATGTACCCAGTAAGCGCGGTTATTTTAACCTAATCAGATGTGGTTACAAGAAATGAGCGAGGAAGCTTACGCATTTTTGAACTCAGATGTTATTGGAGCCGCGGCAACGTCTACCTAGAAAAAAATAGCCGCGAATGTGTCGCTGAGTTCTGTAGATCGCTTAACGATGATGGCAGTAGTTTTGGAGATTTTTGACACTGGTGTGTTCAATCAACAAGTAACATTCTTGCCACTATGTTGCTTTTACATTGAAACTGGAAGCATCCAAATGGCGTCTTTTCCTCTGTTTTTCAGGGGACAACTTTGGCGTGTCACACTACCCTCCTTTGTCCGTGAGACGAATGTTGCGATCTTTTTCATCATTGGCTCTTCTTCTGCCAGACGAGAGGCTATGGTTTTCAAATGAAACATTAATTTATACTCCAAACTTCAATTACTCAGTCCACGATATGAAACGCTTTTTTGAAGACATCAAATTCGCGAGAGGTGAGTTGAAGAAGTAGTTGACAGAGGGCATTTATCGGTACTGCAGGCAACAGAGAATGTTTCTGTTTCACTTCAGTTAACAGGGTATGTCAAAAAACGGTCTCTTTTTACTCCGATGCTCCGCGACCAAGTTTCACGCCTTAGGGTGACACAAGAGCGCACTACATTCCCAACTGTTCAATAGTAGGTCTTGGTCCCTCAAAATATCCTCACTCGGTCACAAGGGTATGAATGATGTTATTGATAGTCGAAAGCGGGGCCAGTGTGCCTGCATTCTCGGATGGACGGACAAACAGATCTCGACCGACATCATTTGCAAATCGGCATTGAAATGACACGCCGACATGCCAGTAATACCAGTCCGTCCATCCGAGAATGAAGGCACACTGGCCCCGCATTCGGCCATTAATAAAGTCGTTCACACCCTTGTGACCGAGTGAGGATATTTTGAGGGACCAAGACCTACACTGAACAGTTGGGAAGTTAGTGCGCTCTATTGTCACCCTAAGGCGTGAAACTTGGTCGCCGAGCATCGGAGTAAATGGGACCGTTCTTTTGAGAAATACAATTCTTACCCACGTGAGCACATCTGATAATTGCAAGCAAATGAGATTTGTTTTTGCTGCGAGGAAAACCTGTTTGAGGCTACCCGGACGAATTGCACATTAAATGAGCATGATCTAGCTGTCATAAAATGTGACCATTTAGAATTATTTTGAAATGTTTCGATGTTATTTCCCACATTTGAGACCTCTTAATTACGCCATAGCCTTGCTTATGAGCAACCAGTTTCACCTCACCTGTGGCTTCAAGACACAAAAATACGGGCTCCAACGGTCTACTTAAGTACCAGCAAAATTTAAGCCCATCTACGCATTATACTGAAATATCAGAACGATCCTTCATTGTTTTCACTTTTCTTGGTCGCTTTTCGTCTGGATCGTGTTGTGGTTTATCTCACTTCATCTGTATCCCTTGGTTAGTAAGTCTGAACATTGGATGATATTTGGACAGCCGGTCTTTGAGATGAGACGTGGTCTGTCATTGTCATCCATCTTAGCGCTCAGAAATTCAGTGTTTCCGAAACAAGATGGCTAGCCCTTCGAAACTCGTCTTCCAGAGGCACACAAATCACTCGATCTTTTGAGTGAAAGAAAGCAACTATCTCGCTTCATCAAATCGTTGATCTCTGATAACTACTGCGAATGCCGCATCTGCTGTATGACTGCCTCTGGAAGGATACATCAAACCAGAACTGGTGGAGGCCACCAACCTTGTGGCGAACACACGGTTAACAGAGCAAAAGCTCATTATGCGAAAACAACTTGCAGACCCATGCCACCATAGATATAAATGGAAACTTCAGGCCCGTGAAAGATTACCAAATCGCTTGAGATTGGAGAGGATCCTAGGCAAGTAATGACACTTAATCCCATGATCAACTCCTCACTTCTTTTAGTTGCGATACTGCTAGTGCGTAGTTGGGATATTTGATAAAATCAGAACATGCGGCTTGCACACTGGGAATCCAATGAACACATCCATGGGAGAAAACGAACTGGGTTCTAGCATCAGCGGACTTGCACGTCGCAATAAAAGTAATGTTCACTGCAAGTGTGGTGATGTTAAAAGTACTTGTAGGCGTTTTAATCGCTTTTGCGCAGGTGGTCTCGGAGACACGTAATATGTGGCGGTAGAGGTGAGTGTTATTAAACTAACAGACAATGTCATACAAGGCCTTCAATTTACATATTTCAAACTGGCTAGAAAGAACACATTTTCACAATAGGCTGAATTCAGCCATTTCGTGTATTATCATCCGTTGTTTATATACAAGCAGTGGAATGGCTGTTGCGTACGGAGGCCTTCAAGGTATAACGTCAATGGATAATCGAAAACGGTCAAATTTTATCTAATGCTGGCTGGCATTCCGCTTAGAGGATTGTGGTCACTAGCCTCAGCAAAGCTGGGCGCTCGCTCGCCTGCTTCAGTTCGCTGAGGCCTCGGCAATTAGATAGCTGAAACCCACTTTGCGTAAAGAGACCCATTTCATTGCCAGACTCGCCCTGCCTTGGTGAGGATTGTGGCCACAAACCTCTAAACGTAATTCCGGCCATCAACAGATAAACTCTGACTGTTTTCAAATATCCAATGACCTTAAACCTTGAAGGTCTCTGTATGCAACTTACCCATTCCATTAAGTGAATGTAAACGGCTGATGAGAATACACGAAGTAGCTGAACTCAGATTATCATTTTAAACGGGACTATTACAATCCAACCTGCTATGACGGCAACCCGTCTGAGGCGATCACGTGTCTATGTGTACAAGCCAATAAATCCCCAACTATTCCTGTTTTCTAATTGGTCTTAAAAAGTGCATCGCATCAACCTGTTTTCTGCAACCGCGACCAGGTGTTCGTAATTCTCATGTTCTACCTGTAAAAGGCGACAAGCACGTCACCTTTTCAGCAACGTGTAGATGGGTGGGGAAGAGCAACACCCAAATATATCCATTCAGGATACGGTCCTCGAGATCGGAGTGACCGAGGTTTAAAGTGAGCCGAGGTCTCAATGGAGGTTGCGAGTCGCAACTCAACCACACAGCGTGCTCCCTAAATTCAGCTTTGAACGTGTGGGTGTGTTGCACTCACTATCTGCGCTCATACAACTGTTCAATCTGTGATGTCATCCAGACTCTCGGAGCTGTCAGTGTAATAACGTGAAGTCAAAATATGGTTGTCGAGTTGAACACCGGAACAGATGAGATTAACGACTAAGCGACTGGAGGTGTAATCGTGTGTGAACGACTGAGTGCATTGCAGTAGACCTGCGGAGAAATGAGCGCAATAACAAGCTCACTACCCGTTGCGTATTGTCCCATGTTCTTGCAGATAGGTATGTGGAGCCAGCGTACTCTCTCTGGGCAAAGTATACATCAGTTTGCGGTGGAATAAAAATACCACTCTTTGTCACATGCTTCCTGTGGGCGGACCGACAGCCTTCCCCCCCACCCCAACTCCGCCACTGCTGTCTACGGTGACCATTCAAGTGACAGGTGGTCGCCTTTGCTGGACTGTACCTGTCGTTGCGTGTAGACGCTTGTCCTGTGGATCTGATTTGCCCACAAAAGTACATGTTATTACAAGTCCCGAATCCTATGGAGAAACTGTGTGCCGTTGTATGGTCAAGCAATTATTCTTCCAGTAAAAAGTACGGAAAATAAATAGAAAATATAGCATTCTATTTCGAGCAGAACAGCTTTTGGTTGACGACTCTGACAAAGGACAAAATGGTACTGAGGAGACAATGCGAAATGCATGCATCTACCAGTTTTGGTCTTCTTGTCGTGCTTGTAAAATTTCTGAAGGCAACTAGCTGCTTGCTAAAGGACAAAATGGCTAATTCCAAACCGCAGGACTGAAGACATTGATAGCTGAAGAAAGAATATCAGTGATTCGACAGTCAAGAAGGAAATAGTTCACTAACACTGGGAGAAACTTTTGGAGTACGAGGGACGCAAATCTTTCAAACATTAAAGTGGAAAGTTGAGTTTTAAACCACTCTGAAAACAACACAGGAACAGCAGAAAAAGCGGAAATGAAGACATAAACGCACTTTGCTGGATAGGGTGCCAGTCTGCACTTGCAAGAAAAATTCCAATATCTGGACCAAATATACAAGAACCAGTTTCGCACTTTGCGAAAGTATTTATTGACTCAAACTCTAAGGCATCAAAAGGTTGGTTGCAGGCTTTCATTAGTACGCACAACTTTGTGTATGGTAAACAATCCGGCGAAAGCAGCGACGGATATGCGTGCCGCAGCAAACTGGATAGCCAAATCACGCGAACTATGTTCCGGTTACGCAGCTCAATAAAATTATAATTTGAATGAAACTGGGTTGTTAATCAAATGTACTTGTGAAAAGACATCTATTTTACCAGACGAGCATAATGTGCAGGTGGAAAAGGCGCAATGAGCGAATCACAGTTACGCTGTGATGCTGGGGGAGCGGGAACTGGCCTTAGTGGTTGGAAAATCAGCCAACTGTGGAATTTTTTAAAAATTCACTTTGGTAAACCGCCGGTAATTTACAAGGAGAATAAAAAGGCGTGGATAACTGCAGTTGTTTTTGAAAATTGGCGCAGTAGCCTCGTTACAGTGATGCAACAAAAAAGTGTAACATCATTTTTTTCTTTGCCAATACTGCCTGCCATCCCAGAACTCATCCAAAGAATGTCAAAACACAGCTCCTCCCACCAAACACCACTGCTTTAATCTAACCCCTCGATCAAGATGTCATTCAAGCATTGAAATTAAAGTTTAGTAAAATTTGACTTCTACATATTATTGCCATTATGGAATCACAGCAATAAATATCAGGTGGCGTGGAAGGAGGTAGAGAAATCAACAATGCCCGACTGTTTTGTAATGTGGAGCTCCTTTTTCCTGCAGGCATCGGTTCTGAGACAACAATGCAAACTGGACGTAATGCAGACGAGTATATTGTACCTCCTGCAACCTCTACTGTTTTGGACAAATTCCGAATGAAATGTTTTGCATGTCAACTTACTGACGGCCATTTGGTTGATTCAAATCTCCAAACTTCCAACACAACGGAAATAAACTGGGACCTTCCTGGCACTTCAATTTGGGCAACTGCGGTTGGGAATACTAACTCGGACGACGAGCAAGAAAGAGAATCTACAGACGCCCAGGGTGCTCTTGATATTTTGCACTCCTACGCAATAAGTAGAGGACGCCCTGATATGCTTTAACTTATCAAGAACCTGAGAAAAATACTTACTTTATCTTTCCTATCAATTGCGAAGCAACAGATTTCTATATTTGATTTTTTCCATCTGGTAAAAAATGATAAGGGCAAGAGAAGAGTATGCGTGTATGATTTTGTTAAAAGTTGTGGATTACACCGATTTGCATGTTGGTTTTATAATTTCTACTCATAAACTGTAAAGTTTTAAATTTTTATTGCTCATAT